AAGCACACCTTGGGCCCCCCCAGGAACATTGGCTGTTTGTTTGCTTAGATGGTAGGTCTCTGGGGTGTGGATGAGCTCGTTTCCCCCAGACCGAGGCGCAAGCCTCGCCCCCCCTCGGCCTCGCCGCCCTCCGGGCCCTCCGGTTCACCGCCGCAAGAGGAGGACAGATGGGAAGATGTGACGGGAGGATTTGGAGTTGGAATGGAATCTTACCAATTCATTTATTGTTTCTAATAGCTTATTGCTCCTAGAAGTAAGGCCAGGAGCCCCGTTCGTAGCGTCCTTGCTCCTAGTAGGGATGCCCTTTGCTCCAAAGGCTTCCTTTTTTTCGACCCATTGCCCTCACTCGTGCTTCCTTCATTAATCTTAAGTAAGGGCAGTGGACGCAGGAGAGCTCACGCTTCTTCCAGGAAGATTCTCCGCCTGGGGGCGGGGGGGAGCTTCCTTGAAGAAATGCCCGCACTATTCATTTGGTTCCTAGATACATTTGGAAAAAGCACAAATTACTTTACTTAGCGTTATCCCCACCACGGCATTCTATCTGGCATATACTATGGCCCATGGCATTCTACTAGGTAGTAGCCCTAAAGGCTACGTACCAAAAGGCGTGGCGGGCTGCGTGCCCCTGAGGACCTGACCTACCTGTGTTTAGACCAAATGTTATATGTGGTGGGTTGGGAGACTCTATTCGCGGAAGAAGACAATGTGCAATTGCATACGCTTTCTGGTCATTTTGCAACATAATGTAGACTCTTGATGGATAACCTCCCCATATGAAGATGTGTTTCAATTCAAATGGAGGGGCTCATTATATAATCAAGAGTCTACAATGTGGTCAAGTCGCTGGTAGGGAGGTGTTGTTGCCCCCGTGGTATTCCTTAGAAAAACTCGGACTCTCAGGAGAGGAAAGGTGCCATCAAGCGCGTGTCGCACGCGCCCTCAGATCTGGCTGATGCCTGAGAGCGATGCCAGAGTTTCAGCCTGAACTGATGTGAGGGTTGGAAGTGGAACTTTTTAGAAAATTATTTTTTCCACATCAAGTTGAAGAGAACCATGGGCTTTGGGTGTCATCCCAGCGACCTGATCTTTAAAGGCCTATGAAGCACCTCTCCGATTGGCATGTGCATTGGGTACATGGAGTTTTGATGGGCAGTATGTTTTGCGCCCGTTATGCAGCTTACCCAACGCTCCAACCAAAGCAGCAACGGACAGCGCCAGCGCTACCCAGTAGCGATGCACTTTGGTTGGGAATGGAGAGCTGCTCTGAATTTCAAGGTTCATGGATTTTCATGGAGCGACAGTACCTGAAACCATGTTTGACCATTCGGCGATCTTGACTTTCAGTCAACATCGTTCATGAACGCAACGGACACCGACCGAGCCATGCTGTCACTTTGGTCCTGCTTTGGTCGCAGGTTCGAAGACCCACCATTGGTCCGCCCCCTGCGGGAGCCTCAATCCATGCAGATGGGTCTTTTGGGGTTGGGGGGAAGAAGGAAGGCACACGGTAGGCTAGGCTTCACGTGCCTAACATAGGCGTTCATTGGTCCATAGCCTTCCCTTTACTTTGCTTTGATTCAAGACAAACCGCTCCCAGAAACGCTCCCAGTCAGGCTTGCATCCTCCAATAGAAGAGTTCCAACTTGATCTAGTTTGGTCGAAAACGATCCAAACGACTGAACTTCATGAACCAGTCGCCCTCCTACTCTAAGCTGGCCTCACGGCCGGCCCCGGCCCGGGAACCCGCGAACGGGGCCGGCCGGGGCCATCCGATGTCGAAGGGGGAGACCTTGCAGGCGTTCCGACCCGAAGGAAGTCGAAGGAACACCAGGAATTGGGTCTACCCATTGCTGGCACCTCTCATCGGGATCCGTGGAAGCGAGGCCTCTCGTGATTGGTCGAACCCCTACGTCTTGGAACGCCTGGTCCAGGCGTGGAAGGCGGGTGGAAGGTGGGAAGAGCAAGATTGATCTATATATTCTATAATCTAGCTTCCTGCAGCTGCTTCCACTAGATGGCTGGATCTTCCTGAGAAACATTCATGACATGCTGGACCGGACCACTTGGCCGATCGATGTTCGCGTCCCAACCTTCAGGACCGGTTCGATCGGTGCCTTCGTGGCTTTGCGTCTCGAACGGTCGAATCTGCATGTCCTCGTTACGTCGAAGGAGATGGGCCTCAAGCGATATGGCTCAAACTTCCCGAAGGAGACCGTGCCGCTTTGGTGCTCGAGACAGCACCGCTCTCGAGACAGCACCTCAAAAAACCCGTTTGTTGATGTCTTTTTGTTTTTGGCTTTTGTTGAGCTGCCACGAGCTGCAAGGAAGCCGGCAGCCGCTCAGAGGTAAACTATTGCAAGTTTTGGTTGAAGAATTCCAGCCGACACAGCTCAACCTTTGGAATGTCCTTGACTTTCAAACGTCGCCTCGGCTGCACCTGGTTGTGACCCAGAGCCAGGAGATGTTTGATCCAGAGCATGTGGAGCATCCCTCCGACTTCTACGATGCGCATGGGCCTTGGAAGATTTAGAGAAGGTGCCCAGCTGATCTTCGGGTTGTGGGCCGAGTCAAATTGCTATAATGGGTGTGTATCTTAACAGGGAGACCCCCAACCGTTGGGGTTTGGTTTTGGTTTATTTCCCTTCTTTGGTCTTTGGGAGATCTCACATGAACTCACCCGACTTTTAATACACACGGACACCCATATCTACGGGTGAACTCTGGCTGATTTGAGTGGTCCGGAACGGTCGACCGAACGGTCATTCTCTGTCGGTGCGTCCGAGCCTTGTTCACTGAAGAGTAGGTATACGGGTAATTACTCAGCATGTATGTAGTCTTCTCTAAAGCCAAGCCAGAATGCCACACATAAATGATGGGATGAGGGGGCAAAAACACTACCATTTTGCTCTGAGAGAAAGCTTTGAGATCATCAAGGAAAATAAAAGTTAATGACGGACAGATAGAATGAACGCCACAAAATCTACTGGCAGCATTTTCTCACAAGACACAATGGTTGCCAACGGCTGGCATCTCATCTTCTTCAACGCTCCGAGATTCTCGAACTTCCACAGAACGAGGCCGGATTGTGAGCGGCCACCACCGCCCAAGCGCAAGAAGGCGCAGATTCCAGTGTGACGTGGTGTGTGTTGGTCAGCGATTTAAATGATTTGCAGTTGACTGGTTTGAATCCCCACTGTGAAGGCAGAGAAGTGTGGAACCCAGCTTACAAAGGGCTAGTGCGAAGAGCGGCAGGTTTGCAGTTGAACGGAACACAGCAAGTTCCGCAGAATACTCATGACATCCTCACTTCATTCGCCGTCCATGCTGTCAATTCCACGGGTCAGTTCATCAATCCCGCCTGTGCCTTTGTTCGAGTCTGTCAGCCACTGAGGCAGCACAAGTCACCAGCTCCAGGCCGGGCACCAACAAACTGGGATTGCAGGCATCATGGCTTCGTGGCTTCGTCATGCTTTCGGTCTTTTTCTGTTTACACGAGCAGATGGCGGTCACATGGCTTTCCTCGTTTCGATTGCTCCAGCGGCCCTGGTGGGAAAGGGTCGAAAGGGACGCCCCAACCGTCGGACCAGCCATCTGGTCCACCTCCCTCCGTCGGCGTCGCTAGGAGTCACCGAAGCGGAGTTGGTCAGCTGAGAGGTGGCGCGTGGGCGAGCGCGTGGTCCGGGAGTCCAAAGGGAAAGGGACAGGGACATGCATTGCAATGCCGCGCTTTGTGATGTCATCGTTTTGAGTCCTAACTGCTGCATGGAGGTTTTAGATGGTTTTAGTTTGTCCTGGTTCCTGAAGCAAATCCAAGGTATTCGAGTTTATTGTTCAGACTCCGAGTTCAGACGTTCTGAAGGTTGTGTGCGGCATGCCGGCATGCAATTGGCTTTCCGATAGGTTCTATAATATATCTACTAATAATGAATAACAATGAATAATGTTATAGATTTCAAGATGCAATCTAATCTAGAAGTACGAGAGGAGCTAGTCTGTTCTTGATAGAAGAAATACTCGGAAGCCTTGCCCTGGAGGTTCCTGCTCTTTGGAAGCTAGAAAACCTTTTTGAGTTGGACGAACCTTTCCGCACCTCAGCCATTCTGAATCCACACTCTGGATTCTGGATCGGACCAGAACCCCCACTGGCCAATGGCAGGCACAATTCGCCGGCGGGAAGCGAGGGCGCAACCCCGACGGCCCTGCAAAAGGAAAAAACGTCCTGCGCACTGCCGCTTGAGTGGGACAAGGGAATCAGGATGAATGAATAAATGGTATAACTTATCTAACCATATCTAACTATATATTATATATATAGCCTTACTTGTTCCTACAGACTCTCGTGCCAGCTGTGTATATTGAAGCACTGTGAACACTTCCCATCGTTGGTCACAGGTCCGTGGCAACAAGACACAGGAAGGACTTCCCATCCCTTCGTCACTCGTTTTTGTCGCCGCGCCTGATCAGGGCTCAAGTCGGGTTGAGGGTGGGCCGCTGCAGCCTGGGCGGCCGACCGCGCGGACCTCGGAAGTGGTCAAGATGATGGAATCAGCACCTGGCATTCACACAGGAACCTCCTGATCCTCCTGCAACTCTTGGTAAGCGCTTAAATCATCTTAAATCCATTTGGCCATGACGTTTTCGGGGGATGCACTGACGATTCATGATTCATGATTCATTCGATGGCTTCAACATCTTCAACCTCAATCTCATTTTTCGGAACGAGACCAGAGCTTTTCCCACTCACTCTCACCGACCAGTACGGTCCGACTGGACCCGTCTGACGGAGCTGAACGGTCCAGGCCACCCGGAACCGTAATGTATACTTTTTGGTGTGGCACCTCAGAGACGCCTTTTCCCGGGGCGTCGACGACGACTTGGCGCGGAATGTCGGCGATGGATCCGAGCAAAAAGCACTGGACTCTCTCCAAAGTTTCCTATAGAAATTATGAGAACCTTCATTGGAAAGACCTCTGGACATGTGCGACCTATGGTGACCTATGATGACCTCTGCGAGCTGCTCAAGGTCAGAGCTGGACACCAAAAATTGCCCTGGACCCCGCGCGGCGCATTCCTGTCGGAAGCTCGGAAGGAGGTTCTCAAGATGGGTTCGCGGATTCGAGGTCTTGGTCGAAGAGGCTGTAGTCGACTTGGTCGCTGCAGTTCTGTGACTCGAATACCTTTGAGGATTAGAGGTATTGCATCAACATGGCTGCATTGGTTCCAGGATGTTCAATCAAGGGTGACCACAGTCCTTTCTGGCCACATCCACGGGTGTGCTCTGAACCTGGATGACATCATCTCTCAGGTGACATCATTGATGGGCGTCTAGTGCTTAGATGATGCCCTGTGTGTGAGTGCTCGACGGGCGGAAAGACGGACAACACCTGAAAAAACACTGCTGATAGGGTCAAGCGAGGGAACAGGGCCATCAATGAACGAGGAAAGCTGGACATCATTTGACTATAGGACCTGCCATGGACCTGCGATGACCTTGCATATCATCGATGGACTGCTGCAGAAGGCCATCAACACTTGGGTCCGGACGCCTCCAGCGTCGTGATGCTCGGACGACTGAGGCCTATATCTCTTCGGTGGCTGGAATGGCAAGCGTGCGCTGAATGACTTGCACGTGCTGGATGTGGCCTCTGGTACTTGGTCGGAGGTCCGGAGATCTCCAAATGGGCTTGGATTCGCAAAAGGATCCAAAGGGAGACCCCCAGTGCGATCCTCTGGAAGAAGTAAAGTAGACCAAGCCCCCTTTGGCTGGTCTCCCTGTTTCAATGATCTGGACGTAGGATTAATCAACGGCCTCCCCCCCCATCAAGGTCGACAAGGTCAACAAGGTTTGAGATTGGAGGTTTTGGAAACCACATCCCGCCAACGAAGGTGTTGACCAGATGATGGATGATGGTTGATATGATTCTGTGTGAACACTGAGGCCTGTGAGAGGGGTACCCTTCGTGAGCTAGAACACGCGTCAAGATTTCGATAGATTTTTTTTAGGGGAACAGGAACATAGTTTGCTAGAGAGGTTTTTAGGGATTGCGGAACAATGGATGCTGACCAGAAGGTATTGGATGCTGGGCAAGATAGTAAATAACATACTGTAATTACAATAATAATAGTAAACTATAGTAAACCAGTTTCTGCCAGGGGAAATTCTATTAGGATGATGGACATGTGGAATTTAGGTTTTTAATTGGTTTAGTATTAGGGGCTCGAGCTGGGCTTGATTAATAGAGGAAGGTTACTTAAGCCTATGTTGACATTACACATCCAATTTTCTGGCCAAACGGACGCTCAACTTGTCCGGTGCCATGTCAGAGCCACAGGAAACACTTCCAGCTGTTGAAAGCCCTGCTCTGGGTCATCCGCGAAATAACAGCAATCATCGGGACTCGAGAATACAGAATACCCCAGGAGTTTGATCGATTAGTAGGATCGGCCTTTGCGTATCCGACCCTCATCGAAGCCTAGGCCTATGTAACTATGTGTACAACAAAAAGATACAAGGGCAATCCCATCTCCAAGAGGGGCCAGAATCATGAAAGATGCTCTATCCTAGCGCCGTTTTTTTCGCACCCAAATCACCGGTTCATCTGCTTCAAAAACCGCCAGGTGCTACCCTCTGGCAGTGCTCCATCTGCTCGAAACAACCACACAACGGTGCCGCTCCTAGTGGTTCCAGCAGGTGAACGAAGTGGTTCCAGCCTGTGCGCACCAGTCAGTCAGGTGCACGCATGGTGTGCGGTACCGGTGCATCACCGGTATGCCTGGTGCACCGGTGTACCTTTCGAAGGTGACCGTTGGTGCTGAACTGATTCTTTTGCTGGGGTGTTTTGCTGAGGATTGAGTAATATCGTTGTCCTTTTCTTGCCCCGCGTGGTGAGTGTGTTGTTTGTAAGTCGTATGTGTTCGAATTCGTTTGTCTTCAGATCTGACAATCTGCCAGAAGTCACTCATGGCCGGATCCTGGATCCTTCACCAGTTGGAATCGATGTTGTGGACCAGGTTGCCATAGATGTCCACACAAATTGCCAGGTAATCATATGTGGAATCATGTTTTCAGGTGGGCGTAGCAATAGGTACATGACGCTAAGCCGCTTGCCCTCCGTGGGACATAATTAATGACCGCCGGCCCTGACATCAAGGCGGTGGTGGATTCGCGGCTGGTGGTGCACGGTGGTCACGACGGCAACAAGTGGGTCGCAGATATGCACATTCTAGCCTCTTGGCAGAAGAGAAGTGCAGGATGGCTTGTCGCAATGCAGTTCTAAGGAGGGTCCAGGCTCCAGGGCAAAAGCATGTAAATGCCCTCTGGAGTGTACCAGTGAAGATGAGTGAAGATGCAGCACTGGGGATAGTCCATCCACTGCACATGCCAAGAGTTTAGAACATGAAACCGGGGTCAAATCAAATGTGACAAAATGCATATTGTATATATCAATTTGTATCATATTGTACCCATTGCATGTTTGCAATTTTTCCTTGATGCTTTCATCGTGCTTTCTGGTATTGGCATTCTCACGGTCGCAGCCTCTCCTGTCAGGAGACGAGCCCTCCGGCTCCCACGGCCCCTCATGAAGGTCTCGTGTGGCACAAGGTGCGGAACGCACAGTGAAGTGAACAGGCCAGGGAAAAAGAGGCTAAACAGATCACATAACCGTTAACCATTTCACATAACCCAATTTTGCAAACACCCTGTGAAATGGTCTCTCATCACTTCTGAGTGATTCGGGAGACCGTGTCATTTCGGAACGAAAGCATGCTGGGTCAAAATCCCCCGTCCTGATGGCTTCTTTTGGAGACCACTCAGCAGATCCTCCATTCAGACGAAGTGCTTTCAGCCCTCCCATGACTCACTTGGAAACAAGGGCGGAGTTGCGGAACTTTCATGTTCCGAAAAGCAACAAGAATCAAACATAGTACGAGAGCCTGAGAGCTTTGAGGGAGATGCACCTAGGAACATGCAACAAAGCACCTTCAAGGCATTTCCAGACGTTTCACCTGGGGATGCCGGACTTGAGAATCACAGCATTGTGTTAAAGATTGGATTGTGAGCCTGCCAGCATGAACACTTCCATTCCTGTTCATGCCCCCAAAATGATTGCTAGCAACAGCTTCAGGACCTTGGAAGCTGTGTTTCTACATCTTCAGGGTGGCGCTCGTCTCACTCGCGCGCGCTCGTCTCACGGCCCAGGCTCCCACATCGGGCACTCCGCCGTCGGCGCGGGCGTGTCACACGCTCACCCGCTTAGCACATAAGTTGCGACATGGCGGCGAGCGAGCGAGCAGACGTTGTTTGGATGGATTTGTCAGCACGTGCTGAGAGGAACGGGAGATTGCAGTTTGTTAGGAAGCTCAGTTTGCATCTAGATCATCTACACGCCATTGAGTCGAGCTTGAAAGTCGACGCCCTTGGTTGGCAGAGAAAAGCGCAAAATGCTATTTAGTTCGTGGTAGAAACATGGAGGATTTCTTAAAGATGCGGTTTGTCCAGTCTCAAAATGAAATAAGATGAAACAAGCACGGTCCAGCCAGCATACATTTTGTGATTCAGCTTCGCTCTAAGGTACATGTTTGGTGGCTATGATGGTGCCAAGTGCTTCAACGAGACTTGGACACATCGCGGTTGTGATGTTCGATGCTAGACGAGTTGGAAGGCTTCATAGAACATGCCCAGACCTTCTTAGATAGAACATGATGGAACACACTTTTTGGCCATGCAAGTGTGCCACACCTGGTATGGATCTTCGACAATTCAAAACCGATGGTCTCACGGTCTCTCCTCTCTCAGTGATGCTCGATTAGGCTCTGCTGAAGCTCATGGGTTCCAAGGACATGGACATCATCGACCTCGAAACCATGACTTGGATGCAGCCGAACCTCTCCGGCACTTTGCCGCAAGCCCGGAATGCACATACCATGACGGCCACTCGGCGGCACATGGCATCCGCCTGCGCAGGCGATGCAGCACTGGTAGACCCCACACCCTCAGGTAAGTGAGTGAAGATTATTGAAGATTCATTTTGGCTCTATACTCGTGTGCGGGGTGAGCCACTCCTTCAGGATCCTTAGCATTCCGTTCTTTGCTCAGTGGAGTCAAAGTGCCTTCAAAGCGAACCACTACAAAAGGGAAGCACAGATATCAATTCCACTTGCATTTAGACTGCGTTGGCCAGGTTTCTGTTCACGATAGGACACCAACATGTCCGATCGGGGCTCAAAAGAGAAGTGCGAGTTCCACCGCACGATTCGCTCAAAAAGCTCTTCAGGTTGGCTCTTGTAACGTTGTTCTATGAATGTTGCAGGCTGCACTAGGCAACCAGACCTGAAGGGGACAAGAAGATCCAACCATCACAGCCACGCTCCAAGAAAAGGGGGGTGTGCTGTCCATCGAGGGGAGCGTAGGAGACAGTTTTCGCCTTCGGGAATATATATATATATATATATCTGTTGTATAGATATGTGCTTCAGGATCGTACGGACCAAAAGCCAAAGCCAGCTACACAACAGTAGCTTGTGCAAACTGAGGTGCCACAACATCCTAACCCTGTTTAAAAGCTGTGCAGCTGTTTTTACGCCGCATGGACGCGTTCGTGCTGCACTGGCCCAGCGCCTCCAGGTGATTAGCACGAAACTCTACTTGTTCGGTGCTGCTCTTAGAGACAGACTCACTGCAAAAATGAAGATGGAGGGATTGGCAATTGGCATCAGGTCTCCCAAAAAATTGGAGATCGGATTGGATCTGTCTGACAGACAATGCCCTCCACGTCTCCAAAGAAACATCCAGATCCAATGAGTCCGTTAATCTTCCGGTCATCCCTCAGGCCTGAACTGGCGATCGCTGGCCAATTCGGTCGCGTCGCTCGTCGTCCTCAGGCGGTCACAGCGGGAACAAACACTTGACGGATCTCCATATCTTCGACACCCAGAAGCTTCATTGGTCGCAGCCGGACATCTTAGGGACGCCACCACCAGGACACGACACCACCGTCGCGACGCTTTAATTAAGCGTCGGCGCAAAAGACTGCGCGGTGGGCGAAGTCCATGATGTGTTGAGGGTCGATGGGTGCTATTCTGAGGGGCAGGCGAGAGCAAGAGGACTAATCACTAGGCTTTGATATGGGGGTGGACTCAAGGTGTTACATTTGACGTGAGGGCTACTGCTGGTGACTTCAAAGGTCTGTACCGCTATCCAAGTTATGCTGCCAGCAAGTCCGCCATGACCCCCGACTTTAGTCACCTGAACATATCTCAATGGGGCAACCGAGTTAAAATGAGTTAAGTGTGGTTTACAGCTAAAGGATGCTAAAGGTGTATTTTTTTTGGACGGCCCGGCGATTTGACCTAATTTGTCAGGACTGCGCGGTCACACTGCCAACCTCATCGGCGGCCTGACCGCACCACAGATGAGCCCCGTGTGGCTAAGTTTTGGAGCCGCGACCAGCACCCTTCCAGCTGAGTCACCGGAGTAGGTGACAGCTGGGATGTCGCCCTTTCGCCGTAAACATGATAGATGACTGGGAGAGAAGTGTATAGTATAATTAGTATAATATATAAATGTAGACAAACATGTAACATATATAATATGTATATAGACAATTTTTGACACTTTTGCTTGGTGCAGGAGACCACTGAGCATCCATCATCCATCCATGTGAGTGTGTATTAGAATAGGGAGACACCCGAACCCATGGACTTAGTCGATTTCAATCAACAGCCATGTGTTGTCGGGCGGATTTTGTGGTCGAGTTCGCCGACTTGAGGCCACAAAATCTTCCTCTTTGGTGGCTACGATGGCAAGGGCCGCACCAATGAACTTTACATCCTAGATACAGCAGAGGCGAGACAATATCTGGATGTGGCACATGTGAGTCAATTGATTCGTTGAGGGAGGTAAATGGAAAGTAGATGGCAGTCGCAAGTTCGTCGCGACTTCAGCATTTCGAGTCAATGAGTGTATATGTTCTTCAATCGATGCTCCACCACAGTGGACGAGTGACGTTCCGGACGTTCCGGACGTTCCGCGGCACTCGGGCGCCTCGACCGCTGCGCAGTGCTGCTCGCCGCACAGACCCTGTCAAGGCCAAGTGGGTGAGACCGACCTGGCCGACGGAGTCGCCCCATACTCCGCCGGGGCGACAACGACATTCTGCATCCCTCATAGGCCGGGAGGAAGTTGGGTTGATTTGGGTGGATGGCATGGTCAGTTGATTTGGGTTTGTATGAAGACTGGGAAGACCCCAGCAAGAATCTATATGGGAAAAGGAAGGACCAGGGGCAGGGACCGACAGATGGAATGCCTTTCTCAGGGCCGCTATTTAGCCGCAAACTCACGGTCCAGATGTGGAGCTTTGTTCGACCAACCACCAAACGATCTAATCGCCAGCTATTTTCAGTCCTGTGGCACTCCGGCGGATGGCGAAAGCACCACACGCCACATGTTCTTTTCTTTAATTCATGACCTAGTCCGTTGCTTGTTAGTTGGCCTTTTCATCTCATTCCCTTCACTAAACAGTTCCCTCCCAAGGAAGTTCCCCACGGTGAGCGGCTTCGCCACACGCAGGTTCCAAGAGGATTTACATCTTCGGAGGCTTCGATGGGAACAAGTGGTTGAACGATCTGCATGTCCTGGACGTCGGCCGCCTGGAGGAGCGCTTTTCCGCGGAGCAGACCAGGAGGTGGATGAGAAGCGCATGCTCAACACCCTCCAACAGGTCCTATCTGCGCATACGCTTCCACACACCACAAAGCACTCATGCGGTGACTGGGGTCACCACCTTCAAGAAAAAAGAAGATTAAAGATGCAAGCTTCATTGTCAAAGTGGTCATGCTCCTTCCCTTTGAACACACCACATGGCTTTTACTTGTGTATTGCGATGTTGACTTAATATAAATATATATATACATATTAAATAAGTTCTGGTCAACTTAAGCATTTTAGTATTCTCTATCAAGTTGCCAATAATCATCATTGTAAAACAACTGGAACATCTATATAAATCATTCTAAATCCCTTGTTTGCTCCATTGTTTTGTTTTTAAAGTGTAATTTTGGTACCATTGGAGTTTAACACTATTTTGTAAAATATAATCACCTAAACTTTAACAGCACCACCATGCACCAGCCAAAGAAGCCCCAGTAGCCAAGGTGTATTGTGCCCCGTTACGGGCCCGTAATCGGCGAGCACGCCATATATTTTATTCATGATGATCCATGGGCTCCTCTATCAGTTTCGAGACGTCACTGATGCCATTTTTTGTGCGAAGCGTGAACACAAAGAAGGCGGCAGAAGCAGGTAGGAAAATCTTCTGTGGCCAGTAGATGCTAAGGGGCACCATCTCTGGTTGGGTTCAATATGGTTCAATGATCTGTTGCTTTCGAAGTTTTGAATGTTTTTTGATTCTTTGACCATGGATGATTCATCCTAACCTAACCGGTCACATGTTTCGACCAAGGGACCTTCCTGCGACCATCCTGGCCAGGAGAGTGCCCTCAACGATGTGGCAGTGCATACGCTCATTGAAAACATGGGCAAGCTTGCTGGCAAAACATTTCTGGTGTGACATTCCTCAGACATTCAGGACAAACGTTTTGCATCGTTTTGCAGGACCTTGCCAGGTGTGTACGTAGGACTTGCCACACTTTACCATGAAAGCACGCATATGTTGATACATTCTGATCATTTTGCATGGTTCTTTATCAAGAGGCCCCCTCTCACTTCTTTTCAACGACCTCGAACGCACACCAACGGGCCACCAGCGGGGCAGCAGTGCCACTTTGTTGTCCAAATTCCAAATCACTGAGGCTGCTGCGGAGTGGCGAGTTCAGTGACATCATTTTTGTGGTCGAAGGGAAACGCATTTACGCTCACAAGGCGCTCTGAAATCATATTCCGGTGAGTAACATCAACCTGTCTGTACATCTGAAAGAAGTATCTCAAAGCACTGTTTGACACTAGACCAAACGCCAGGAGTTTTTATGTGGGCAGCACGATAGAACAGGGGGCAGCTCCACAGGCTTGTGCACAGCACCCTGTGTTTGCAGCGCAAGAACTGTTCAATCGGCTAGACTAGACTTGAGAGCCCTTCCTTTCTGCTTTAGTTCGTTTTGCTTGCGAGCACCCTGTGTTTACAGTCCATTCCGCATCCCAAATGGTGTAAACATCGGTCACGTTAACTTGCTAAATCCTTTTTCTCGTACCGAGCGTCAGTAGGTCGTTCCGAACATCGGGACAGAACCGCATCCCGTTCGGTAGCCGACCTCCTTCAGTCGCCGAGCCGTGTCGCCGGGTCGTCGTGACTGACCGCGTGACTGACCGCGTGACCGTGTCACGCGTCACGACCTCAGGCAATCCTTATAGCACAGTGCGAACACTTCAGGGCCCCCTGGCGAGAAGAGAGCTGAAGGATTTGACGAGTTGACGACGGGTCGGACTGACTTCGCGTGGCCTCCATGGGCGAAGAGTTGGGATGAGCCAGAAACGTCTGTGCTGGATAGACTCTGAAAGTGCATAGACACCTCCAAGCCTGGCAAACACGGCGCGCCAACACGGTCAAATGACCCCTGTGGCCTCCGATCCCATCCTGAATCCATGGGTGGCGTCTTTCGACCCTTCAGACCTCTTCACTGATCGTCCACCGGAGAGCGAGGCGATGTTTGCCGGAGGTCGCTTCGCGGAGAGCCGTGAAGCGGAAATCGAGATCCCTCAGTGGAGCCACGTGGCCTTTTCAGCGATGCTGGCGGGGAGACCCGAAGAGCATCGAGACGACGAGGGGGGGGGGGGGGACGAAGGGCGAAAAAGGACGAAGGGCACCCTGATCATCCAAAGAAGGGGGGTGATCTGTGACGAGACCCTCCAGAAATTGAAGCTTAAGTTTTGGTTTGCCAATATGATTGGGATTGATTTGAGAATATTTGAGATCAATATCTCATATCAATTTCATATCATATCATCATATTTCAAATTATTTCAATGAAAGGTCCACCCTCTTTGAGTCAATCTGGGATCAAGTATGAGACAGGAATCCGCCCAGCTTTATTCCGGGAAGCTGGTGTTGCTGGTGGAAAAGACTGGACTCTGGACCCTCCTCCCTCCTTCGTTTGAGACGCAGAACACCCGGTAGAAGCTGGACCATGCTGGACCAGTGATTTCGCTGGACCATGCTGGACCAATCCACTGGGATTGATCGATGGCAGGAGTGGCTCTACACTGGCCATGCGCCAAGAGAATTATCCGCGGAGCACCTGACAGAGGTGGGGAACTGGGCGCCAACAGGAAAAGCATTGGCTGTGTTTGGATGTTCTCCTTAGGTCCTCGGTCTCGCGGACCATTACACCTTGGATGGTCGGGAGCCCGAGGAGAAAAAAAGGATGAACGGAGCTGATTCTGGAGGCTCTGGACTCTGGACGTGGATTCAAAGTTATCCTTGTCCAATGTAGGAATGCACATGAATACAAAGTGACTGCAAAGATTGATACTAAGAGCGTTTTTGCAAGCCTTTGAATGACCCCAAGAATTGTAATCAATGGCTGTCGGAGGCTGGCGTTCCTTCCCTCGAGATTCGGCCATGACGTACTGCACCTGAGGCCTAAAGCACGTTTGTGAAAATGCCACTCGGCTCAGATGATCAGCTTCTGTCCAAGAAACGTTTTGCCAGGCTTGTACAGGCAAAAGACAATGTCGTCACTGTTTTTTGAGTGGTTGATACCCTGCCTTGGGGGGAAGGCTCCGCGGAAAGTCGTCTCTTTTTCTCAAATATTGAAGAGGATGTGCTCTATCCATTCCCGTATTCCAACGCATTTTGCAAGCTTACCACCTGCTTCCATTTTGTCACGAGAGATTCTCAGTAAAGGTGGTGAACACATCTCATTATTTTGATGACCTTTTGTTTATTATCTAACGTACTGGTACCAGAAAGACTTCTTTGAGGGATTTCGCACCTGTATCATACACCAAAACCTCCACCTGCAAAAACAACAAGACACCAATTAGGACAGCCATATTGCCACCAAGCATCGAGCAAGAAGCCAATATCTTAATTTGTTTTCCACTAGAGAGCAGCTCTGGTTTGCAGCAGCAAGAGTGGAACTGCAATATCGATATATATATATATATAAATACTTTGCTTAATATTGTTATTGTCGCTGTTCTTTCAAATATAGCATTTGTAACGCCAGTCGTCAGAACTATGGTCAGGCGGTTTTGGCTTGTCATGTCTCATGGAGTTCATTTGGGTTTCGTTTGCACGGTCAGGGACACACACACACACACAGTTGGCATCAGTTGGCAGTTTTCAGTGGCTCCCGTTTTGGCGTCCCAGGTGCTCATGCACAGCGTAGAGATCGACAACGTTTGTGCCCTGCTCCGCTACTGGGCTGGAGAACAGACATGAAGCAACGGGCTTCTTGTTACGGCTGTAGCTTTGTTCTTTTCCTCCAGTTCGGCTGGAGCTTCGACTGCTTCGGAGGGTTCCGTCGGTGGCCGGAAGGTCGAGCCGCCGGACGGCCGAGCCGGGTCTCATGGAGACGGTCGCACCAAGGTCACTCTGATCAGTACATGGCGCAGGAGCTCAAACGCTACTGCCTGGCGTTTATCCTCAAAAATTTTGATCAGGCTGGGGAACCATCACAGCGACAATTCCACGAAGAAACGCAAAACAAAGATGGGAACAATCTGTTGGGAGTGCATGGCTCCTAGTGAGTGGCAAGAACTACGTGGTGCCTTCAGAAACAAATCTCGTCCCGCACAGTGCTGGATACAAATAATTGCCAGTGGCAGCCTTGAGAACCAAGGTGAGCACTGATGAACAATGTCTTGTTTGTTGAGAAACCTTCTGTGCATGACACCATCGAAGAGAAACATGAGATGAAACATGTCAAGATCTACAAAAAGGAGAAGCAAACCACGACGAGCTCAGTGCTACACATGCTTTGAAGGTGGCCTACACGACGGCCTTCGACGAGCTCAGCTCGATGCCATCTTTATTGCTGGCCCGCAGACCCAGTCGGGTCATTCCGCTTGGAGAATGGGCCGCCCATGTCTTCGGTTGGGTACCTGACAGTTTGGGAGGGTAGCTGAAGAGATCCATAGAGATCCATGATAGGGCCTGATAGGGGACCCGAAGGTTGGGTTTGTAGATCTCCAACCGGGTTTGAACAACACCGTTTGGTCTAAGTATTTTAGACGCTTCAACCTGGGGGTGTCCGTTTTGTTGAAGACACGCCTGTTTCGCCTTCCTGTTTCGCCAGTGGCCCAGTGGCATGGACCCCAGTGGCCAAGGATATTCCAGCAATCTCAATTTGGGTAATTGAGATCTAGATGAACATCAGCTTCCAATCCGCGTTTGGATGATAGTCCTCTGGCTTGGAGGAAGACAGCTAGGGGCACCTCTTTGGATATGATGGACAACCATTTTCAAGGTGAAGCTATCAAGTACCCGAGATCATTTTCAAAAGAACAGCTAGCTATACCAGTTGGAATGATGAATCCCCAATGACGACAGTCACATCCTTCAATTCCATGGTCGGAACCACTGAGCCCCGCTGCCTCGCGCTGCCTCTCAGGAAGTGACCCGCGCGGCTGCGACGAAGGACACGGTCCCGCGGAACGTAGGCTGCTCCTCGGGGTCGAGCCCAGGCATGTGAGAGGCGCGGTTGGACAGTGCACGTGACACCGGTGGACCTTCACCAACTGTTGGACCTTCACCTTCTAAACGGGTTCCGGATTTGGATCCATCATCCATCATTCAAATTTGGGTTTGGAATTCATGAGGGGTATGGATGAGAGAGGGAGAGAGTTGGGTATGGATGGACAATATATATATATACAATAGAACACCCGTGCTCTTAAAGCTTAAGACGCACTGAGCACCATTGAGGACATGGCTGTGACCAGTTCCTAAGCCAATCCCAAAAGCGCAGGTGGTACATAATACAACACGATCACAGATATGTGGATCTTTTCATGATCGGCAACACACAAGCGATGCTCGCTTGAGGCTTCATGACTGTGACTTACCACTGAGCTGAGAGCTTTGAGCAAGGAGAATGGTATTCTCATCGTCATCAAACATGTCCACAGACTTCACTATGACACCCATAACTGCTGTGACCCACGACAATCCTGGTTGGTGGGCTCCTGTGATCCAGTGCATTAAATGGTGGGAAAGTCACTCCTGCATTGATAGTAGGAGATCCATTTGCATGTGATACTTGGCTTCCACGTAGAAGGGCAAGGATGTCCTTCCCGTCATATAGATTCGTGTTCAGGTTTTCCGGAGGTATGTGCCCAGGTCGTTAAGGATCCACGGTTCTGTCGCTTGGAGACTCTACCATCTCGCCATTCTCTACCGGAGACTCAACCGGCCTTCCGAAAGTGGGAAGGCTGGCTCAGTGCATGGTCAGAATCCATAATTGATGGAGGCAGTGCCAGTCTCGCCATGGGGCAAAGACAGGGGGGTTTAGACATGCACCCTCGACAGAGACTTCGACAACGAGCAATGGTGTGAGGTTCATTGCCCGCATACTTGGGCACAGTCTGTTTGGAATCAGGGCCGTGCTTTTTGTTCTGCAGGCGGATTTTTCCGATGCCGTCTACGCTTGGCATCAACTTAGCAGAATGCATTTGGAGCTTGCCACACTGAGATGATGCTCACGTTTGGGGGATTAAAGGATATCAAAGGTGTTCATCAATGAATTGGGCCCTGATTTGGATATTTGGGATGAAGTTGGGCAAACCGTCTCAACTAGTGCCCCAGCCTAGAAGCTGGGGATGGTGTCGAAGACACTGCGCAAGCCGTGGAAAAGTGCTGCTCTCATTGTTAGATCAATGGAAAAGGGAGCCCTCACCCTGACACTCCATGTATAAACAATGAATAACCTCTACAATGGAAGGGATTCAGGAGTCCAGTGTAGATATTCCATAGATGGAGTGTCTGGGTCATGCTTCCCAGCCACTTTTTGCTTCGTGGGGCCGAGCTCCCAATGTGGGGCCAGGAGGTCCGGACGTCCAAGGAGGTCCTTGCGGCCATCGGCGTACCCGTGGATGGCCCATAGACTCTCATGGAATTACAAAGCAATACACACCACGAATAGCAGAGATGTGATGCGGCAAGGAGATGTGATGTGCCAGGTGTGTGAAAACAAGGACCTTGCGGCGAGTGGGATGCCGTGGGATGCCTTTGCCATGCAGAGGTGGAGAAAAAGTGTGAATGCGTGCTCAGTGAGGGTCAAGCTAGACAAGCTTGTGGCGGGAACGGCGATGCATTTACTTTTTCCATCTTTTTCCCGAATCGATCAAGATCTTTTGGACGAGGACGCAGCGCAAACAAAGGATATTGCAACAACACTGATGTCCCCAAAGGATCTTGCGCTCGGCCTGAAAGACACCTGCTCAAGACACACATTCCCAGATGCGGCAATCTGTGTGCGGCAAGGCAAGCCAATGACGTTCAGTCTTGAGTCTTCAGCACGAGCAAACCATCCAACACCAGTGCAAACACCAAAAACGCCGACACTCTCTAAGCGCAAACGGTGCGTTCGTTTCGCTCCCTGCGCGGTCCCAAGTCGTGTTGTGACGCCCCCCCCGACCCGCGCGGGCACGAGGACCCAGGCTGGGGGGGCGAACAGCGAGTTCGCGCAAGGCCCATCTGGAGGATTCCTGGGTGAATGAAGGTTGAAGGTCCAGGATTGGGCTCCGGGAGCGGAGGGGTGCAGTTTCCGCCAAACCGCCATCCACAGTTCAATCCACCACCTGGAACGCTTGCACGACAGCGACAGCGTCCCGAACGTTGGGCCAGCACGAATTGACCCATGTGGCGTCTCGTCGGCTCCGACTTTGCTCCGACTTTGCTGCACTGATGCGTGGCCGGCTTATTCAACCTTTCCCTACCCCAAGGACCAAGTAACATCTGGTCCTTACGACCGAGACTTGAGTACTGCTTTTGGATTTTTTCCCGGAGCCGGGTCTGAATGAAGTCCTTCCTTGGCCGGTAGGGTTTATTATGGTTTATTCATATTTGAATCCAGTGTACTTTGGCCCAAGCGCTGCTCGGATGGACCTGAACTCAGCACTTGTTTGCTCCACTCGACTGGTCTCTGAATCGAGCCATGTGGGCTTCCAGTAAGCACTTTGACGAGTGCAAAAACCAGAGCAGGAAAGCAAGAATTGGTGAGAAAACACTTGGAATGAAGCAGTCAGCAAGTGCATGCAAATGCCTGAACCCCATCCGAACAAGCCTCAAACCGATGGACCAAGCTGTACCAAAGACCTAGTTGCTGAGCCATTAGCCATGCGTGCGCAGTTGAAAAGACGAGGATGTAATCACGAAGGTGCAAACCGAACGAATGACCCTGATCACGCGATGAGCTCTTTCTCCAAAGTCAAATCGACAGAAAAAGCCGCCGCCGCCGCCTAAAGTACCCGCAATTTGTGGCTTGGTTTGCTTTGCGTTACATTCATGTTGAGGTGGCTCCTTGGGTGCAGTGATGGATCTTGCGAGTGTTTGCCATGGGATGGCCCATGCTCGGAGTTTCTGTGGGCTTGGTTGGTCCACAGAGTACTTCGTGCTTTGTGCCCAAAGGGCAGTCGTTGCGGTCTCACTTCGTCTTCTTCACCTCCTCGATGGGTTCGTCGTCAGCCGTAGCGTCCATTTGGTCCGGAACCAACGGTGGTGCACAGACTGGTCACTACGAACACAAACAACGTAATGCGTTCGAAGCGCATTTCACATGGCCTGGATCTGACAAGCAAAATAGATGATCATGTTTGCTTTTTGGTCGGTTTGGAGCCGGTTTACATTGTTTTGCAGCTTTTTGCGCGTGCTTTGCAATAATTCGGTTGTTTTACCTATTGCTGTGGCAGTTGGAAGATCCATGTGTGAGGGTGCGCACGTTTTCGTTTCAAGCACTCCTTAGATCTCCCTCGTTTAATATGGATGTGGATTGGAATAGGGAGACCATGGGAGACCCCCATTTGACCTACTGGAAGAAGGACCATGGACCACAACCCATCACGGGGTTTCCTACTAAATTGCAAACCTACAAAAATTGTCCCGGCAAGAGGCCCCAAACAGTGTGTGAGGTCTATAAGCAGAAAGTCTAGAGTCTCTAGAGATCTAGACGCATTGGGGTCCAGAGAGGTGATGGTGGTGATGAAGGTGGGGATCATCGTGACGGTGGCTGTGAGTGAGTGAGTGAGTGAGTGAGTGTGTGTGTAAGTGTGTGTCAACTCCTGTCTTTGAGGAACTCGACCACACAAAGGTATGCAATGAATTAATTCGATCGATTTTTCATCAATGTACAGGGGGCCATCTCCTTCACCAGTGGTGGATGGCCACCGAAAAGGCCACTGGTGAAGGTTGCAAAAGTACCTGCATGTACCTGCATTCGCATGTTGGTGACTTAAGCCATATTGTATCTGACCCAGCGCCTTTCCGTTGTGCACATGGCCGTGGCAGGCTTCAGGCTCCAACGCTCTAATCCGGTATTGTAATCACTAGAGGGGATTGCCACAGCTGATGGTGCCCTTGCAAGCCCTTATCTTGCGTGTTTTGCCACAGAATCGCACTGAGGGCTGCGGTGTGGTCCCCAGCGAGGGGCGCGTGTTGCACATGCCCTTCACGGTGAACCTTCACGAATACATTGGTTTGTTCGTGAACTTCGTTAGCTTAGCGTTTTTACTCGAGAGTGCTGATCCCATGCCGCAAGGCCTCCTGAGATCCCTTCAGGGAATGACATTACATGCTGTTAAGTATTCATAAGTTTTAGGAGCTGCCGCAAAGTACGCGTGAAGTCATCGCTATTCATCACTGTACTGAACTTTTAACGAGCAGTCAATCCCTGACTGGCTTCCTTGACGCGAATCTATTTTATTTCGATATCTGTCCCTCCAGTCGAGCTCGGCGTACCTGGGCATGTTTCAGCCGGCCCCAGCCCAATTCCACATTTCACCTTTTACTGAGCTCCTCCCATCAACAACCACTTAACCCTTCAGACTCCATCGGCCCTCAAGCCTATCCCACCGCTGCTGTCTCTGCCTTTCATGATCCTCATGCCGCAGAAGAGTAACACAAAAGTGAGTAGGATGCTGTCATTTATCAAGAATGTGTGTTTGCGTGACCGGTGTGTTGAGCAACGCCCGCCAAAACAGTCGTGGCTTGGTGAAGATGAAGGGTGATGTTGCCGTCGCGATGTGGAAGTGGATGTGCGTATGGTGCATCGCTCAAATGCAATTGTTTGTTGGCCCCAAACCATGCTTGATGCACCAAAATTGTCCAGAATTTTTCAACAAACAACACTTCGATGTGTGTGTGGTTGTATAGGAGCTTGGGGGAATCTGGCCAGTGATGATTTTTTTGCCCGCCCGCCTCTGATACAAAAGAACGCAGCAACCCCACTGCCGCCGCTTGCAGGCAACAGTCTTGCCAGGATTTGCAGGCTTTTACATGCTTTTACAAAGCTTTGAGAAGCAAGATGGGTTTGGTTGACGGTTTGTTTCAGGTTTGCTTTCATCCCGCCAGCCTTCTGACATTGTCTTTGCCGATGTCCAAGGCGAAATGCACAGTCCTTTTTCCGCGAGATACCGGAATATGAGGAAAACTGTGGAGCAAACCGGCCACCAATTGGACAGCATGTCGCCCTTGAAC